ATGCCTTGTTGCCTGGTGTTCCACGGTGCTTTGTTTCCCGCTGTTCCACGGTGCCTTGTTGCCTGGTGTTCCACGGTGCTTTGTTTCCCGCTGTTCCACGGTGCCTTGTTGCCTGCTGTTCCACGGTGCCTTGGTGCCTGCTGTTCCACGGTGCCTTGTTGCCTGCTGTTCCACGGTGCCTTGGTGCCTCCTGTTCCACGGTACCTTGGTGCCTGCTGTTCCACGGTGCCTTGTTGCCTGGTGTTCCACGGTGCTTTGTTTCCCTGCTGTTCCACGGTGCCTTGTTGCCTGCTGTTCCACGGTGCCTGCAGTGCCTGGTGTTCCACGGCAGTTTGCGCCTCCTGTTCCACGGTACCTTGATGCTTGCTGTTCCACGGTGCCTTGCGCCTGCTGTTCCACGGTGCCTTGCTGCCTGCCGTTCCATTTGCGCTTTTGTTTCGCCGTTCCACGGTGCCTTGTTGCCTCCTGTTCCACGGTACCTGATGCTTGCTGTTCCACGGTGCCTGGTGCCTGCTGTTCCACTGCGCTTTGTTGCCTGCCGTCTCCACGGTGCTTTGTTTCCCGCCGTTCCGGTGCCTTGTTGCCTGCTGTTGTTCCACGGTGCCTTGTTGCCTCCTGTCTCCACGGTGCCTGATGCTTGCTGTTCCACGGTGCCTTGTTGCCTGCCAGTTCCACGGTGTCTTGGTGCCTGCTGTTCCACTGCGCCTTTTGGTGCCTGCTGTTCCACGCTGGTGCCTGCTGTTCCACTGCGCTTTTGTTGCCTGCTGTTCCACGGTGCTTTACTTCTGCCGTTCCATTTGCGCTCTGTTGCCTGTTGCTCCACGGTGCCTTTTGGTGCCTGCTGTTCCACGGTGCCTTGTTGCTCGGTGTTCCACGGTGCTTGTTTCGCTGTTCCACGGTGCCTTGTTGCTCCTGTTCCACGGTGCCTTGTTGCCTGCTGTTCCACGGTGCCTTGTTGCCTGCTGTTCCACGGTGCCTTGTTGCCTGCTGTTCCACGGTGCCTTGTTGCCTGCTGTTCCACGGTGCCTTGTTGCCTGCTGTTCCACGGTGCCTTGTGATCACTATTATATCATGAAAATTTGTCTTCAAATTTGTTCCTTGTTTTAATCAAATAAATACAGAGTCTATATGTAAGATACTGCCCCTTATTTCTTCTACCTGTCATATCAACAAAGAGAAGTGCAGTGTTGTGAGCTCACGACACAACAAGGTCCACCACATATATTTGTAAGTCGTAAATTTATCTCGTGGTGAGGTAGAAGGCTGTAAGGCATAGAGAGGTCCCGAGTGGAATATAATCTTGGTATTATAAACAGTGATGGTGTCTCGTGACCACACAACGCGGGAGGAGTTAATGAAGCGTTTTAAGACGTCATCGTGCAGTACACCACCACCCCCACCATCACCCCCACCACCACCACCACCCCCACCACCCCCTCTCTCCTTATTTTAATTATTTATTTGTATTAATATTGTTTACTTCACTGCTCATGAGATCACCTGAAGATTACCCCCCCTCCCCTCACATAACCTGACAGAGGGTAGGTTAGGTTAGGTTAGGTTAAACTTGTTAATGTTAAGGTGGGCCGACAGATGAACCAACTGGTATATAAGAGAGTGTATGTATATTATTATTTACCATTATCAATTATCTGTTCTCTTTATAGATTATTTCTTATCATTGTTATTCCTCTATTTATTAATCTTCTGTGATTTTTCTAATGATTCGTATTGATTTTTTTTATCATTGTTGGTCGTCATCATTGTCGTCATTGTCATTGATTGGTTGTTTGTCATTATTGTTGTTATTGTTTATCATTGTTGTTCTTATTCTTTACTTGATTGGTGTTTCTACAATCTTTATCATTCTTGCTATTTTCGTCTGCATTTTCCTCTTTTCATTGCGTATTGATTTTTTAATTTTCACATATATTTTCTTATATGTCTGAGGGTATTATTTTTTTCCTCCAGGTGTTAGACAGGTAACTTCTCCGTTAATGATGAAAGGTTGAAGAATTATCAGTGTTGATGAGGGATAAAATATTTCCACTAAATATTGTTGTTTATACAGTAATTTATTCAAGTCTAATAAGTTTTGTATGATTAATATTTATTTTTTTTTTGTAGATAAAGAATGTTAGTGATAATTGGAGGAGAAAGAGAGTAAAGGTTAGAATAAAGAGATAAATGGAGGGATAAAGAGAGAGGTCCAGCACGGCAAGATGAGAGACATGACAAACAAGACAATAATATTAATGATGTACTCAGGATGAAGCTAAAAAGAAAATACACTTTTTTTCCACTTATTTCTTTTATTTTTTTCATTTCCAACGATAAAGAAACGTCGGTTCATCCACTGTGTTGTATAACAAGACAAATATTGGTGCATTATGTACAAATGATATACAGAATTAGACAAATAAAAATAAAAGCCAAAAAGATGAAAACGGACAGCGAGAGAGGGTCGGACACTGTGTACCCTGGCTCCTCCACTACCGCCCACACCCACGCCCACATCCACACGCCCGCTGGTGTGCTCTCCCGCCACGCCCACACAGGAGGGGAGGGAGGAGCTTCCGGCGTCACAGGTGAGACGAACGCGACATGGTGACGCCTCTTGTGACGGCGGCGACGGCGGCGGGGGAGGGTCATCCAGGAACAGGTCAGAGGGGTTCTGGTGTCAACCATCCAGCCGCAGCAGATGGACACGAACACCTCGGTTCCTGTGCCACCACCTGGTGGCGGCGGCAGGTGGCGTGGAGTGGCGGTGGCAGGCGGCGTGGGGCAGCAACGGCAGGTGGCGTGGAGCGGTGGCTGCGGCGGCGGCTTCGGCGACGGGCAAGTGGCGCGAGGCAGCAGCAGGACTTCCATGTACTGCTGCCTGGAAGCGTCACGTCATCGCCGCCCTGGCCACTGTCGTCCCCCGCCCTGTGGGCCTTGATCTCCAAATTATGGGACGGGGACATGGGCGGCGGGGTGAGGCGGGGGTGAGGCGGGGGCTGGGCGGGGGCAGGGCGGGGCGGGGCGAGTGGGGACAGGGTGATGGGCGTCCGGGGCAGTGTTGAGGAGGGTTGGGCGTGGGGTGGGGGTGGGGGATATGTACAGGGCGCAAAAACTGTATGTACAGGAAGGGCCGGCCGTGGGGTGCACACGGACACACACACACACATGTACACCGGGCCGGCTCTAGCTAACACGTCGCCTGAGACAGTCAGACGTAAACACACACAAACCTTCCGTATAAATTATGGCATTAAGAACGTAATTATTAACATACACACTTTTCCTCCTCTTTCCTCTGTAATGTAATTCTCACCATTAATATTATGAATATTCAGTCAACGTTACATTTATGCGGTTATCACATTTTAAGTTCAGTCTCCCGCCCGTCCTGGCTCGTGGGGGTACTGCTGGACCACTGAACCGCTGGACCACACTGGAACCGCTGGACCAACGTCGTCACCGCTGCCTGGATCAACTGGGCTCTCTGGACCATAATGGGACCACTGAACCATCTCTGAAACCATTGGACCTTCCTTGGACCGATGAACCATGCCGAGGTCTCTGGATGACCGCTGTCCATGATATGACCACTGGACCGTACTGGACCGCTACATCAGACTGGGACAGCTGGATAATGCTGGGGCCATTGTACCATACTCAACTGTTGGACCATGACGGGACCACTGGATTATGGGCGACTGGTGGATCAATATCGGGATTTTTCAGACCATGATGGAACTACCAGGTGGATGCTAGACCATGCTGGGACCAATGGACCATGCTTGGACCACTAGACCATGCAGGGACCACTGGACCATGCTGGGACCACTAGACTATGCTGAACTGCTGGGTCATGCTAAGACCACTAGACCATGGCATGACCACTCAATCATGGTGAAACTGCTAGACCATGGTTTGACCTCTGGACCATAGTGGGACCGCAGGGTCATGGTGGAACTATTAAACCATGGTGGAACCTTCGGACCATGATGGAACCAATGGAACATAGAGGGACCACTGGACCATGTTGGGACCACTGAACCGTGCTGGGACCACTGCACCATGTGTGACTGCTGGACCAGCGTCGGGACGGCTTGACCAACTTCGGCACTATTAGACCATGAAGGAGCCGCTGGACCATACTGGACCACGCAGGGATTTCTAGACCAAGCTAGAACACACTGGACCACCCCGAGATAATTGGTCCATGCCAGGACCGCTGGACCATACCAGGTTTGCTGGACCACCCATGAGACGCGAGGCCACCCTGGGACCGCTGATCACCCCTGGAGACCATTGGACCATACCTGAACCGCTGGACCACCTAGGGACCACTAAACCACCCAGGAATCCATGTATAAATAATGGACTATTTGACCATTTGGGACCACAGGACCCTAGAACCAATGTACAACCACTGGACCATAGGACCACTAGTCTACGATGGAACCACTAGACTTTCCAAGACCGCTGTACCACGCTAAGATCACTGGACCACACCAAGACCACTGGACCACGCCAAGACCACTGGACCACGCTAAGACCACTGGTCCACGCCAAGACCACTGGTCCACGCCAAGACCACTGGACCACGCTAAGACCAAGACCACTGGACCACAACCAGTACAGAAGAGATGAATTTGATGGACCCGTTGAACCACCGCTAGGAGCCAGCGACCACTGTACCGAGAACACTGGCCCGCAATTAGACCAAGAGTCACCGCTTCGCCCCGAGTGTTTTCGAGGCGTGACGGGGCGGGGCAGGGCGGATCGGGGCTGGTCGGGGCGGGTCGGGGTGGACAGGCTACTTGTATAGTGGTCGCTGAGATCTTCCGCTGTCATAGGTGAAGTGGGCGTCTCGTGAGCGGCCCTGGTACCTCGTGAGTGGCCCTAGTACCTCATGGGTGGCCCTGGTATCTCGTGAGTGTCCCTGGTACCTCGCGAGTGGCCCTGGTACCTCGTGAGCGGCCCTGATACCTCGTGAGCGGTCCTGGTACCTCGTGAGTGGCCCTGGTACCTTGTGAGTGGCCCTGGTACCTCGTGAGGGGTGTGGATGGCGCTGGGACCTTGTGGTTAAAGGTTCAGTTTTAACAGGTTGAAGACCTCTTGAAGATAGCAATGATAATTTATGGGTGGCGTGGGTGTCTTATGGGTGGCGTGGGCATCGTATGGGTGGCGTGGGCATCTTATGGGTGGCGTGGGCGTCTTATGGGTGGCGAGGACATCTTATGGGTGGCGTGGGCGTGGGTGGTCTTTGGGATGGTCTAGGAGGATATTACGTGATGTGGTCTTAGATTTTGTTTGCTCTGGGTGGTCTAGGTATCGCTTGGGCGGTCTGCAGAATAAGGTGGGCGGCGTGGGCGGCCTCCTGGATAAGTGGGCGATGATGGGGGGGTCCGTGGCCATCTCCCCCCCCGAGCCTGCGGGCGCGTCTCACCGACTATTCCGGGTGACCCTGCCCGTTACATATGGGCGAGAGGCATGGGCGCGGGCGGCATCTGGTCGGGCGAGGCTGCGCCATGGGCGTGGTAGTGGGCGTGAGACATGTAGGCAGCGGCGGCGACGGCCTTCTGCTGCTCGTGGCGTTCCTGGGACCCCGGCAGGTACATGGAGATCATCTGGGACAGGTCTTGTTGGCCCGGACCTCCTGTGCCATATTCCCGCTTCATCACACCTGCTGGACGCAACACACCTGGTTAGTTCTCATTACCTCATGTTTACCTACAACAACAATCACTACAACACACACATCTACAGTAGACCTACAGTGACTTTTCTCTACACCCTCTCTTAATTACTACCTGTTGTACACCTAGTTACTACCTTTAGTTTAAGATTACTGGTGTCATACCTGTTCAGATTTAATGGGCACAGGTAAGTCTAGTCTGATAAACAGTTTACACCTCCAGCGTTCACCTGTAAACTACTTAATTAATTTATCTTCAGAAGTGTTTTTCACACTCGGATCAGAATATACTACAGTGTTATGTGAAGACAAGACTCTGCTCTGAAGAGTGTCGAGTCTTAAATCTATCTCACTCTGCTGTATATTTCAGAAGTTTTGATTATATAAATATACTTTTATAGAAGATGGAATCAGGTGAACCTATATCATCTTATGTATGAGCAGTTATCAGAAACAGTCTATGCTGTTAGATAAATATTTTTCACGTACTTTGATAGAAAGCTTATAAATATATCCCTGTATATTTCAGGTATTTTCACCAGATAATCTACGATATGCCAGATATTTACCACAACCGCCCTAAGATATTTTTCACGCACTTTGATATGTATATAAATATAGTTATAATCTACTTAGAATGCATGACTGTATATATTTCAGATATTATCATTAAACATATTGAGCTACTAAGGACGAATCACTTTAACGTACTTTGATATTGTGATGTATATTTCACCAACTACCATATTTGTTTTAAATATTTTGATAGTGTGTGGATGTCTCTGGCCTCGGAACTACCGAATAATGTACATATATTTAACATGTATATTTCATGAATTATCCAGCAAACGCTGTGGCCCTAAAGAAATATATTCCCGCCTACTATGATAATTACCTTCTAAGGGATTAAATTATTATTGCCTATGTATATTTCACTAAATATATTTCAGCAATTATCATAACCTTTAATTAACTATATTTCAGGATTTATCATGAAGTAAATCTATGTCATCTTAAGCGTCTAATTATATCTCATTGTTTATCAACAAACTCTACGCTACTAAAGAAACTCTTTTTCACGTACTTTGATATTCACCTGCTGTCGTGTGGGTGGCAGAGGGCGGCATGGTAGCGCCTGGCGAGGACACGGGCAAAGTGGGCGTCTCAGACTTGATCGGAGTGGGTGAGTGGGACGCTGACGAGCCCACCGAACCCACTGAACCCACTGAGGCCATGGACGCCATCTGTCGGGAGGAGGAGGAACTTGATAATGTTATGTGAAACCTACTGGAAGTGTGTGTGTGTGTGGGGGGGGGGGTTATCATTGTGTGTATGTATGAGTGGTTTGTGTGTTTTGGTATACATGTGTGTGTGTGTGTGGGGGGGTATCATTGTGTGTATGTATGAGTGGTTTGTGTGTTTTGGTATACATGTGTGTGTGTGTGTGGGGGTATCATTGTGTGTATGTATGAGTGGTTTGTGTGTTTTGGTATACATGTGTGTGTGTGTGTGGGGGGGGTATCATTGTGTGTATGTATGAGTGGTTTGTGTGTTTTGGTATACATGTGTGTGTGTGTGGGGGGGGGGGTATCATTGTGTGTATGTATGAGTGGTTTGTGTGTTTTGGTATACATGTGTGTGTGTGTGTGTGTGTTTACAAGGTATAATCCTGCTATTATTTACTTCTTGGCAACTTGATGGGCAGATGCGTTGCCACTGTCTCTTATTCTGATATTTTTGTTTTAGTTTTTCCTAGTGATAACTAAATGTTCAAGAGATAATATTTCCACCATATTGTTCATGTATCTGTGGGTAAATGTTCATCTCTGTTCAAATACTTATCAGTTACTCTTATATTAAATACTTATTTAGGTATAATTAACACATATAGATTGATATATATTAATACTTGCTTATATGAGGAATATTTCTGAGTAGTTTTTCTTATTAAATGTTTTTATATATTATTTATACATGTAAAACTATCTATGTACACATATTTATATACACGCCCTTATGTACATTCCATGATGTGCACACCATTCCGTATACGCCTTTACATACACACCCTGTACACACCCTTACATACACACCCTGTACACACCCTTACATACACACCCTTACATAAACACCCTCTACACACCCTCACATACACACCCTCTACACACCCTCACACACACACACCCACACCCACCCACACACACCCACACACACACCTACACACCAACACACACCCACACACACACACACACACTACACACCAACACACACACACACACACACACACACACACACACACACACACACACACACACCCACCCACACACACACGCTACACACCAAAAAACTCCACCATTCTACAGTACCCGTAAACGTACCTGGCTCATGGAGTAAGGGGAAGGAGCCGAGGCATACATGGCTGGACTGTAGGAGCCGTTCATGTAGGAGGGGGTGCTGGAGGTGGGCGAATAACCCCTTGTCATGTCATACCCGCCGTACATCTGGCCTGTCATGTAGGGGTAGCTCTGTCCACCGTAGGCTGCGCTGTCATAACCATACCCTGCAGGAGAGGTGAGAGAAAAGGGGGAGGGTGCTGTTGAGTCGAGGTGTTGGAGGAGATGGTGGGGGAAGGATGAAGAGATGGGGAGGAGAAGAGGAGAGGAGGGAGAAGAGGGGTAGAAGAGGAGGAGAGGAGGGAGAGGAGGGGGAGATATGTGTGTTTAAAGGTTTAATAGGGTGGCATGTGTTTTCTTCCTTGATGGATAATGGGAAGTATATGTATCATTTAGGAGTGAAAAGGGAGAAAGATAACAAAGGAGGAAGAAGATCAAACGATAATAAACATGGGAATAAAGAAGACGTGGCTACAGTAAAGGGAATAAAGAGAATTACAGAAAAATAAAAAAAAACAAAAAAAACAAGAATAAATCAGGGAATTGAACTAAAGAAAAACTCTACAGAGGATAGATGAAGTGAATGATGAATAACATGTATGAATCTACATAAAAATGTATTAAAGAATTATTAACAGATTTATGCCTAAAATTTAATACCAAAAGTATAGCAAAAACTTTGTGAAAAATTATAAAATGAATGAATTAAAATTATACAAGAAAATTATCAAACCAAAATTGTATGATAAAAATTAAATACAAACTTTGAAGGAAATTAAAACAAATTTATTAAGACAATCTATCCAAAAACTATATAACTTTTTTCAACAAATTAAAAAAAATCTAAAAAAAAAAAAATAAATAAACTGAAATCCTACAAAAACAAATAAAACAAAAAAAAATCAAAAGCAAAACTAAAAACCTACAGAAAAAAAACAGGAAAAAATAAAATAAAATAAAATTCTCCAAAAATTAACTCTAAAAATCCCCAAAGCAGAAAGAAAACATTGACTATCCTTAAAAAAAAAAAAACATTACAAAATAAACATTACATAAACACACAAAGCCCAATTTCCTTTTACCTGAGAAATAGGAACATTGAAAATTGGTTCTTGGTTGACAATTTTGGTAAGTTTGTTTAGGGTCGAGCCCGGGGTAGTTGGGCAGACGAATATAAAGACAGCGATCTCTCTTGTTGCCTAGAACACGGGGTAGAGGAGAGGTTAGAGAGCCGTGGTTAGTTACGGGAGAGGTTAGATGGCCGTGGTTAGGTATGGGGGAGGGGTTAGAGGGCCGTGGTTAGGTTATAGGGGGAGGTTAGGAGGTCGTGGTTAGTTATGGGAGAGGTTAGAGGGCCGTTAGCCGTGGTTAGTTACGGGAGAGGTTAGATGGCCGTGGTTAGGTATGGGGGAGGGGTTAGAGGGCCGTGGTTAGGTTATAGGGGGAGGTTAGGAGGTCGTGGTTAGTTATGGGAGAGGTTAGAGGGCCGTGGTTAAGTGATAGGTTAGACTGGGAATTAGTTAAGGGGAGTTAGATCACGGATTGGATGATTGGTTAGATTAGGGATTAGGTGATGACTTGGATTAAGGATTAGGTGATTAGTCCGAGGATTAGCTAGATTATGGCTAGACTGGTGATTAGGTGATTGCTTGGATTAAGGATTAGGTGATTAGTCCGAGGATTAGCTAGATTATGGCTAGACTGGTGATTAGGTGATTGCTTGGATTAATGATTAGGTGATTAGTCCGAGGATTAGCTAGATTATGGCTAGACTGGTGATTAGGTGATGACTTGGATTAAGGATTAGGTAATTAGTCCGAGGATTAGGCAGATTAGAAACCGGTAAACTGGCCATGGGAAAAAAACCAAGTAAATCATTGTTACAAAAAAGCAAGAAGGTAAAATAACCCTTAAGTCAGAAAGACAATAACAGGTTAACCATATGAAGCAAAACCACAGAAAAACAATAACAAAAACAGAAGCAAATAAGAGGAAGGAGAAAAAAAAGCAAACAAGAGAATCGGGAACAAGGAAAACATGCAAGTAGAAGAAGTTTGGAAGTAAGCAAGCAAGGATTAGATCAGGTCATGCAAATATTATTATACAACATGCAGTTATCTCTAGTGTTCATTATTCAGTATTACATTGTGTAAAATTATTATCTACCAGAATATGAAGAATAAATTATGATAAAGTATTGTAATATAATTCTTACCAGGAAATATAAAATTATTATTAAAAGTTTCTTGAAATATAAGATTAAAAACAAATATATAACTTGGTTGGTATGATTGAAATTATTGTATTTAAATTGAATGAAATATTGAATAAATCTGAAAAAAAATATTGAGGAAATATCTAAATAATGAACAGTGATAAAGTATAGCTAAAACTAATGGAATAAATAATCAGAATATAGTAGAAATTATATAGTAATTCTAAAGATAAATAAACATTGAATATAACTAAAGAAAACTCTAATAAGGATAATTAACAATATAAAGAAACAAGAACTAGAGAAATATATATAGTTTATACTTTAAGTTTATATAATGATAAATATAAATAGCATGTATATAAAGACTATAATGGTATATCATATAAGTCAACATAACCACCACCAAACAACCCTGATATAACAAACGAGGTAGTTCTCAATATAGCACTGAGAGGAATAATGATGTCATTGAGTTAGTTTTGGTAAATAAAAGAAAAATGTAAACGAATCAATTGTAAAAAAAAAAAATTAAATGAATCAATATTGAAAAACAAAAACAAACAAATGTATTTGTATATGTATCGACTACTTAACCCTGAAATAAAACACACACGAGCGAGGTTGACACATAACTGACATACAAATCAATTCTGACAAAACCGCAGAGTCAACCAGCTGCGTCTAACCAAGCATGGCGACACAACACCGCAATTTCCGCCGCCACAAGTGAAGCTGCCGCCACCACCACCACCGCCACAAACACTGCCACAAACACTGCCACAAACACTGCCACAAACACTGCCACAAACAAGGTCTCTCAATCAGTATACTAAGCAAGGAGAGGAAGGCAGTGGTGGAGAAGGTTAGGTTAGGTTAGGTTAGGTTAGGTTAAGTACTAAAGGTTTTATCCAAAAAATTCCGTCGATTGTAACAAAAACTTCCACGCAAAAAAATCTACGAGCTCCAAATATTCGTCACACTAGAGATATATACTTATTTATACAGAGTTCCGTAACCTGTAATTAACGATTATTAAAAAAAAGAGTGATTTACCTGGGTGGTAATTGAACGCTTCCTCCCTCGTGCTGCGGTTCAACCAATTACATTTAACATCCTGGATGGGCGTTAAATAATGACCAAAACTAGTGATTATTGACCATTACAACACCATTTTAATCGCCCTCATCTGACGAGCAAATTCGTAAAACTGATCAATCTCTATTCGTCCGTCGCCTCGTCAGTTAATGGGGGGGGGGTGAGGGCAGGAGGGATGGAGTAAAGAACTTAGAGAAGGGAGTAAAGAACTGAGGAGGGAGTAAGGGTGAGGGAGGGAGGGAGTAAGGGCGAGGGAAGGAGTAAGGGCGAGGGAAGGAGTAAGGGTGAGGGAGGGAAGGAGTAAGGGTGAGGTGAGGGAATAAGGACGAGAGAGGGAATAAGGGCGAGGGAAGGAGGGATGGAAAGAGAGAGAAAAACAAAGATATGGACGTATAATTGGAAATAGGGTAAGTGGGAATAACGAAAGAAATAAGAGAAGAGAAGATGAGAAGGTAAAGAGGCAAGTATATCACATATGTCTCCCTGTTCTATCTTTCCCTCCCTCTCAAATACTCCTCTCCCAATAAAAATACTCCTCACCTTTCCCTCCTTCCCCTTTCCCTTCCTCTCTTCCTCACCCCTTATACTTTACCCTTCTCCCCTACACCTACCTCCCTCTTCTTCCCCCACCACCCACACTATCGAATTTCCAGGGTTGAGTTTAGCGTGTGTTGGGGTCGTGTGATTTGTGCTTGGCATAATGTGATATCATTTTGCGCCTCACGCTAACCCTCTCTCCCTCCCTCCCTCCCTCCGACCAACACCTGCCCTCTGAGTTGGCAGTTTTGTGGTGTGAGGGAGAGAGGGGAGAGAGAGAGAGAGAGGAGGGAGAGAGAGAGGGAGAGAGGTGAGGGGGAGAGAGAGGGAGAGAGAGGGTGAGACGGTGAGAGGGTGAGAGTAGAAGAAGTGGGAGGTGATGGTGTGGTATACAGGGGGGATGATGGTGGACACGTTTGTTGAGGTTCACACACACACACACACACACACACACACACACACACTCACACACATATGCAAACAGATTCGCAATATCACAGATTCACAGGTACACGTTAATACGAAAGCCAAAGTATACATACATACATACATATATACATACATACATACATACATACATACATACATACATACATACATACATATACCACACACCTTAAAATCATCGACTGTGGCTAAACGATAAAACAAACTAACACAGTTAACACATAAGACTTGTTAATTTAACACGGCAGACACCTGTAAACTAACACACCTTGGCCCCTGAGTAAGAAGGACTAAATTACGCTAAACTACGCTATTTTTTCTTCATATATTACCTGACTAATTTAAGCTAATTAATACCTGCATATGTATGTTTTTTTTTTTTTTTTACGGTTCGCTAAAATGGTAGTGATGGTGATGGTGGTTGTTGTGGTAGTAGTGGTTGTTGTGGTTGTTGTGGTAGTTGTTGTAGTGACGGTGGTTGTTGTGGTGACGGTGAGGGTAGTGGTGGTGGTGGTGGTGGTGACTGTGAAAGTGTTAATGGTTGTTATGATGATGATGATGATGATAATAATGATGATGATGATGATGATGATGATGATGATGATGATGATGATGATGATGATGATGACCGATTCACTTCATACCTGACAGTCTCCAAGTGTTGTATTTTCTTTACAACTGATCTTAACAAGTTGTAGTTATTATTATTGTTGTTGTTGTAGTTATTATTGTTGTTGTTGTAGTTATCATTGTTGTTGTTCCTCATTTCTCCTTCCCCTCATCTCTTATCCTCCTCTATCCTCCACTCTCTCTTATCCCCCATTCTCTACCTATTCACAATTACCACTCCTTAATATCGTTTTCCCTCCTCTCCCTCCCTCTCACTCACTCCCTATCCATCGTTTACGCTTCCTCCTCCCCCTCCTTCCCTCCCTCTCCCCCACCACCCCTCCCTCACCCTCACCCCACATCAGTGGGGAGGTGTGTTTAGATGAAGTGTATAGGACAGATATTTCTGGTTGATTATCACAGACGATAGCAAGAGTAACAGTAGCCCCCCAAATCTCACCCCACCCTCCCCCCCGTAGATGGGCAGGTAGACGGGAGGAGGGTAGATTAATAGGAGGAAAGGTAGAGATAACGAGGGAGGAGGAGGTAGAAAGGAGAATAAATGAATAGAAAGGGATAGTAGATTAATAGAAGGAAAAGTAGATTATATAAAAAGAATGACACAGAAGTAAAAGAAAGAGCAAACAAGCGAAGGAAGAAGAGACTAAACGAGGATAAGAAGAATGGACGAGATATACTCAGATAATGAATGGAGGGGGAGGAGAAACGTGATAATAACAAGATATGACGGTGGAGATGCAGAGAGTAGATAAGAAGAGTAAGGTAAGGTAAGGTCAGGTAAGGTAAGGTCAGATTACAGGACAAGAATAGATAAATATGTTAATGAATAGGTAATAAACTTGTAATTATATATGTAAATTAATATGTATGTTAGTAAATATGTAAAGTAGGTGAAGAAATAAGTAGGTAAATATATATCTAAGTAAGTAGGTAAGTAGGTAGAGAGAGGGTGTTGGGTAAGTAGGTAGAGAAGTTGGTGGGTAAACAAGCAAACAGGTAGATAATGATGTAGGCAAGTAGACAGGACAGTAGACAATGATGTAGACAAATAGACAGGAAGGTAGACAATGATGTAGACAAGTAGCCATTAAGGTAGACAGTATCTTCAGGTAGTCGGTGTAACTCATCTATATCAGGGTTACAAAGGTTCTCTCTGGACACGCGACCAACGAGGCGTGTGTGTAGCAACCCTGGTAATCAAACACCCCCCTCCTCCTCCCCTCTCTCTCCTAACCCCTCCTTCCCCCACCTCTCTCTCCCAACCCCTCCTTC